GACAAAATTGCACATTTGTGGAAACTACATATAAATTCTTAAACATTCCATTGTTTTTTCAATACCCATGTGCCCTGCTTGTGTATGACAATCTAGCACCACACTATGTCGTAGTGTTCACGGTACGATCCAAAGAAGTTTGTCGTCAATTTTTCTCATGAGTCTTTCGTGTTGTAGTACATACTCCTTCAACTTTACGGTTCGTTTTAATATTGTTTACTATGTACCGTATATGCTCGTCTTGTAGCTGCATGCTAAACAGCCAGTCATCTTTATCTATAATTGCTTTATCGGTACGCAGATCTGCTACTTCGATTGTTTGTGCTTTTTCGTACGGAGTTCGGCTGAGAGCATCGACATGCTCCATGCGATTGCCTGGTCAGTGTTCTATATCGATGTCGTAGTCCTGTATTCGTGCCATAACCTTTTTACCATAGAAATAATATGGAAAACGTTCCAGCGACTCTACGACAGCCAGAGTTTTGAACTCATAGCTGTGAAATTGTTGTTCGTCAACACTGGTTGCTCTACTGTAGTACGCTATTGGTTTAAGATCTTCTTTTTTTCGCTGTAATAACACGTTTGCCAACCCCACTGTACTTGCATCTGTATGCAGTTCGTGCTCCGCATCGATACGATACCCTTCTTATAGTGGTCTGGATACTAATTTAGATTTTAATTGCTCAAACGCGGCTTCTTATACTTTTGTCCATTCAAATCGTTGGTCTTTTCATAGGAGCTTGCGTAATTGTTCTGAAATTATAGCGTAACCAGGGATAAGTTTTCGAGCCTAAAAATCTGCGTATGTCTGCCATATTAGTTGGTATGGGAAACTTTTCCAGGTAGAATACCTTCCAATGTTAACTTATGACCAAGAAATGTAATGGTGCTTTTCATGAATTCGCATTTTCTCACATTTAGCGTTAAGCCAGCACTACGTAAAGCTGTTAATACTCGAACGTTTGACTGCCTATTAAAATATCATTCATGTATATCATAAGGTCGTCTTCGTGAACTTGTTCTTTGATTTTTGCCATTAAACATTGAAAAACAATAGGCGCGTTCTTTAACCCAAAAGGCATACACTTGAATTCATATAAACCATCAGCCGTTATAAATGCCGTGAATTTTCGACTATCCGGTGCGATTTTGATTTGATAATACCCACTATTCAAATCAAGTATCGTAAAAAATTTGTATTGTTAGATTTAAGCGACGGTAATCTACGCAATGTCTGTCGCTCCCGTCTTTCTTTTTGACTAATACAATTGGACTCGCAAATTTCGCTATAATGTTGTTAACTTCGAAATTTTTGATCATTTGTGTAATTATTATTTGCTTTGGTGCTGGAACTCGATAAGGTGCTTGCGCAATAACCTTTTTCGATTTTAAAACAATTTGCTTTCAATTAACTGTGATTTACCAATTCCCGTTAACCCGTCTGAAAATATATCGTTGTAATTTTTCGGCAACGTTTGAAGTTTCAACATTTGATCTGCATTGCTTACGTTATTTGTTAACCCTGCAAAACACTCGTCATTTGGCACCACAGTAACACGGTGGCATTCAGCTTCGAGCTTTGATTGACCATGCTCCACCATTAACTTCACGCGATATTACGTCCTGACCCAGCAGAAAATCTGTCTCCAGCATGTTATAGCCAACAATATATATTATTGTATTGACCTTTGTTGTGCCAATTATTATACCGATCGCACATCTCTTTCGCATCGTGTATGTGCCACCACTAATTCCCTTTAAACGTGTGTAACAGTCTTCATATTCGACTTTCAACATATCGTCCGTTGACTTTCGAATTCAACTGCACTCATTACCGGTATCAACTAATGCGTCAAACATTTTGTTATTTACGTTATTTTCTTAACAAAACATTTCTCGTTTTGCTTCACTTCGGCCATTCGCGTGTTATACATAATCTGCTTACGACCACAATTCACCGGTTCCTCTCGTTTATGCACCTTTCCACAATAAACGTCTCTGTTCTTTTGAGCATTTATTTGATATGTGGCCTATCTCACCACAATTGTAGCACACAATTTTTTTACTTTCACCACTAGCTGTTGGCTGACGCTTTTGTATAAAAGTAATATCTTTAACACGATTCGTTAACCATTCTTCAATTATTTCGCGCATTAGTATTACGTTTTCAAATCTTTGCGCTGCTATAGCAACTTATAAATCACAATGATTCAACCCCTATCGCGTATACTGAATAATAGAGGATTAGCTGAAAACGCTTGCCTAAGGCATAAACTCTAAAGCAGTAATCGGATGTATGTTCACCTGTGTTACGTACTGATTCGCTCATAATGCGGTGCACTTGTGCTTCGTTGTAAGATACGCAAAATTCGTTTTTCAGTTCTGTTGCAAAATCATCCCAGCTAGTGTGCACGGTAGGTAATGGGTCTAACTAGACACGCACCACTCCTTTTAATCAACCGTAAACAGCCAATAAAACACATTTCCCGTTTAGTTGACAAGCTCTCATAACTCCACCTACATGATTAATGAACTGCTGAACAGTTAGCGACTGCTTGTTAGTTGGGTCAAACTCCGGAATCATGTCTCCTATTTCCTTAATTGACTGAAACCCACCATATGCGTTTGTAGAAATTGATGGCGTTACAGATTGACTCACACTTTCACCTAATGGCTGAATTATTCATAGGCGTCTGCACTCCATTTGTGTCAACTGTTTGTTGCTTTCTCTGTTGGAACATGCTGACATTAGTTTCCATCATACTACGTAGGTCATTGATTTGCTCTTGTAATCTTGTAGTATGCATTACCGTTGGTGCTTTAATTTCATCAGCACTGATTTTTTCTGTTAACCGCAATTATAATCCCGCTCTCGTACCAGCTGTAGCTAACCTCTTTTCACGCAGTATAACTTTTAGTTGATCAATTTTTAATTCGCTGATTTTCGGCATCGTTAATTCTTTGTTAGCGTTAAACGTATTCGTAATTATACTATTTTTTAATTTAGTTGTCTTTTTTTTTTATTCACAACGCCGTTAACATTTTATGATCTACTTTAATTTCGTTTTCGTTGTTTCACTTTCATTTCGTACACATTTTCTTGTTCTTGCTCCTCTCAAGTTTGTTTGCTTATTTGTCTCTTCCGCACTCACTAATCACGATTAGTTTTGCAAGTAAATTATGGTTACGAGAATTTCACAACTTTTCCGTTTGTTGCTTGTACAAAATATAACTATTGAAGCGCTAGGGCTGCTGCACTCTTATGCATAAAATTTGTCCGTAGTTCAACACATTTTTACCTATTATCCCACTTCTGAACTGTAAAGTAAATATTACAAATATCTAACAATTTTTTATTTGTGTTAAGCTATTAAATATTAAAGTATATAATCAAATACGAATTCCGCGAATTACTGCGCTCGACGTGTCGTTCCGATGCGAGCTAAATGACAACTACTTACTTTCATTGTCGTTTCGATGCATACCAAACTGTTCCCCCTCAACAGGGTGATCTTCATTCACACATTGAATAAATAATAAATAAATAATAAAAATAAATAATAAAAAAATACAACAAGATCGAAGGTTATCAGAATCTAAGTACTCGAAAGACCCAAATCACCAAAAAAATTGAAATAATGCTAAACAAAGAGTGTCTCCTAAACCAGACGAGAGTTTTTCAAAAACAAGTATGAAGCTTTAAGTTTTCTGATAGCATATGTCTACTATCTAAAGTATACAAATACTATCCGAATAGAATGGGCTATCAAGGCAGTCTACTTGTAGGAGATGTGACTAAAACTTGTTTAATGGATGACTGCAAAAATTGCTAAACGAAGGAGAGACTACCACCGAGCGAGAAAAAATGCACATCAGACACAAAAAAATTCATAATGGAAAAGGTGTTCAGAATCGTTTAGAGAGTACCTTGCCTTGATCCTTCTAGAGGTGCTTCCCAAATAAAAAAAATCCGTAGCCCTCAAGTACCACAGTTTTCAGACTCAACACTTTTCATTTGAATAATTCATTCAGTGCTTCTTACTTCTTGTGTGAGCGACATCATTTCGCTCTTCCAATATAAATCGATAATATATTAGACGTAATACAGAAGAATTGATACAAATCTTAGAAAATATTGATAAGAAAAGGCACGTAGTTTAAATGGCATAAGGAATGTCGCAATTAAAAGTGAACCTATACCTCAAAATTCTCCATTGATTTTTTAGAAAACATCTTCCTTCCTCTTCCTGGAAACGTCAAAGCATCTTCTTTTTTTTTAAACGGGGCAAACAGCCAGAACAAACACTATTGTATTTCAACCCTGTATAAGGCGACGCGAATAAGGTCTTTTATTAAAACACAATTTAATTTTTTTTATTTCTTATCAAATTAAAAATATAATTAATTGTCAGCACAAACAACACATTTTTTTTGTTTTTTTGTTTTTTTTTTGGCCGAGGTAGAGAAAATAGTGTTGTTGTTTTGCGTACATTTCGGCCAGTATAGGCCAGCAACTTGCTATTTTTTGAAGCACTTGCGAGCCACCGAAAATGCCTAATATTATTGTTTGTGTAGGAGCTAAGAATGCTATAAATTGATTTCTTTCCTAAAATCTTATTATATTAATTATTCATCAGTTTTTAGTTATCTTAGAATATATATACGAGTATTTATTGATTGAGGACATATAACTCGTGCAATATTTCGTTTTCGAAGGTTATATAATAACCGATAAAATGCTCGTTTATATATCGTAAAGAAATCATTTTAGAAATAAATGCTGAAAATGTATAATTTTTCAAATTTCAGAGACTACAAGTGTTCGCGAAAATATTACTTGAACAATATTTTTTTAATTATTTTTAAATACTTTATTAGGGAAAATTACAGAAAAAATTGTTACAGCAAAGTTTGTAAAAAAACAATACATAATGCAATATCAGTGTTAAGTTAATACAAAACAGTATTGCGCAACATTTAATTTGAAATTTATTTTATAGAGATAATGAGCCGTTGATGGCCTTTAAGCAATTTGAAGACAAACTTAATAACGAAAATTTAATAAATACAAAGTATATTAAAGAAGATCTAACAGAAAAGTGGCGACACATAGTCGTAGAATACCAGTTTGTTCAAAATCTTTTTGAAGATATATGTCGGAAATATTTCCGTCTTCAACTGAAGAAAAATCAAGAGGTATTCGCGAATTTGTTTCTAAACATGTAATAAAATGTTTATATTTTATAGATTCAGGATTTGAATGATGCTTTAAATTATGCTTGCGATTGCATTATAACTGCGCAAACTATGTCCTACAATTCAAGAAAAAAATGGAGGAATAAAGATCTATTCTATAAGAAATTATCTGTGTTTATAAAATCATTACAAACATGCAAAACTAAATATACTTCCAAGTTTTATACATAGAATTTTAGAAATAAATATTTAATACTGAAATATTTAACATGCATTATCGTAAATTAGTACATTATCGTAAATGTTCCCATATGGATAGTCATTTTATAACAATCATTTTTCATTGCGTTACCAACGCAACACAGACTTATCAACGATAAGTCTGTTGCATGCTAACCAAAATTGTTTGCCCATTTAAGTCCATCACACAAAATACAATATCATATCCTTGAAATAGAAATCATATACTGGTAAACTCATAGTCTCCAACGTAAGCCCACCGAAGAGAGTACACCTCTTGCTAGCAATTCCTTGTAGTTAAAATTGATCTTAATACTCCTCCGAGTTGATTTATATCGTTTAACCTACAATTTAGAAAATTCATTGTTGTAGCTAACATGGATATACCCTAATATATGGATAGGATATCCCATATGAATAGAAGTCCCTTCTGGGGACTTGTATAAAAGTTCCCCAACGCTTGATACAATCTTTCATAACGCGTTTTTTCAAAACGCGTTCCCCGCAATGGCAGTTTGAGTCGGGGGAAGAGGAAAAAGTCACACGGGGTCATATCTGGAGAGTACGGTGCTTGGTTGATGACATTGGTGGAGTTTTTGGCCAAAAACTGCAACACAACCAACGCTGTGTGAGCCGGTGCGTTATCGAGGTGTGAAATTCATGACTTTTCCTTCCATAAATCTGGGCACTTTTTGCGAAAGACCTCATGCAAACGACGCATAACGGCCAAATAATACACCTTATTGATCGTTTGACCGTCCGGAAGGAATTCATAGTGCACCACACCACGAATATCGAAGGAAACAGTCAGCATAATCTTGATTTTGGACCGACTTTGGCGTTCACTTTTCGATTTCAGCTCACCTTCAAAGCACCATTCGGTCGATTGTTGTTTGGTGGGCATGTCAAATTCATAGAAGCATGTGTTATCACCAGTTATGATGCGTTCGATGAATGTGGGGTCACTATCTGCGTTGGAAATCATCTCTTTAGCCACATTTCAACGACGCTTTTCTTGCATGAAATTCAGTTTCTTTGACACCAGCCGAGAAGCGAGGCGTTTCAAACCCAAAACATCAGTTAAAATGTGTTCGGTCGATCCATATGAGATGCCCAACAACACCGTAATCTCTCTAATCGGTTCACAACGATTTTTCGGCACGATCTTCTACGCCGATTCAATGTTTTCTTCAGTAACAGATGTTGTTGGGCGGCCAGGGATGTCATCATGGTCCAAGATTGTACGACCGTCTTGGAACCTTTTACACCATTCGTATACTCGCGTTTGCGACACATACAAATCACTAAAGGTCTTTTTTAACATTTTCAATGTTTCGGCACACTTGAATCCATTTGCAACAAAAAATTTGATTCACGCACGTTATTCTAATTTTTGACCCATTTTAAAAATCGCTACACGAAAATTTTTCGACTTTTTCTATAGACACCAAACAAAAACTAACCATACGATATGCGTTAAACTTTGACAGAATGTGCATAATAGTGTCGCCAGCGTGAAAATAAAAAAAATCATTCCTTTTTGATCACAAGGTTTATAAAATTATTTTATTTTAGCTAATATTAATGTAACATAGATATCAATGTCATTATACCTGATTAAAACAAACAATTGAATGTTCCCAAAATTGGACCCAAAATTATTATTGGACCCAAAAAATTTTTAAAAAAACAAACATAAGCGTGGGCGATCTAGCAGCAGCGCAGAAACAAAGAATATCTTCACTCCGGCCTTCCGTGCATGTTGCTGATTATTTAATAATTGAGTCATTGAGACTCTATAATATTTTTACTCAATGATAAAAGATTATCAATTTTGTGAAATTATAGTCGTCCAACTCGTAGCATTTGACGCCATCAATTGTCATCAAAACTCGTGAGGACATCAGTGAATTATTCAAAAGATTTTGGATCGTTTGATGAAATTCCACGATGGCACATAAGCACAGTAGAAATGTCTTCTTCTAAATCATCCAAAATGTCACTTATTGCATTGCATCATTACTATCAATTTCTGAAATTTGTATGAATATAAATGTGCTGCTATATGTTATTAAAAATATAAATGCACAAATATAAATTACCCATTAATTCCGCAACAGCAAAATCCAGTATACAATATATTTTCATTTTTACTTTTTTTTGGCATTGTTAAATACGTAAACAAAATGTAGCTGTTCTAAATATTTTCATGACTAAAATGCACAAAGTGTACTCACGATTATTGAGTTTGCAATGATGCACATTCTACAATGCACAGACATCCTGAATACCCCTATTCTTAACAGGCGAATAAGCGATTTTGCAGCTCATTAGCAAATTTATTTTTAGAAATTAAAAATTAAAATGCACAGGGATATATATATGTTAACTATATAAGAATTTTTGTGAATATACCCATGTAATATTATTTTTTAAATAAGAAAAAATTTAACGAACATTTTTATTTTTATCCTAAAACAGTTATCATATGTATATCTGAATTTGTTTTCGTTAGCAGAACA